TGGTTTAAAGTACTTACTACTCTTGTGTAGAATTTGGGATTGGTTCCCTGCATCCACATGGTGGTTCACAGCCACTTGTATCTCTAGTTTCATGAGATCCAAAGAACTCTTCCAGCCTCTGAGGGCACCGCACATAGCTAATGCCCTTACATATGTGCAAGAAAAATACTCATACACAAAATAAAAAAAAACAACAACAAATCTTTAAAAGTAACTCTTTTCACATTTGGAAGGTTTGAAATGATTCATTTGATTATTTTTCATTTATCGTGTGTGTGTGTGTGTGTGTGTGTGTGTGTGTGTGTGTGTGTGTGTTTCTGAATGTCTGTATGTCTGTGCTGCCATGGAGGTCAAATAATAACGGTAAAGTTGATTCTTTCTTTCTACCATGTTGGCTCTGGGGATCAGTGTCAGACCACCATGGTTGACCACATGTGCTCTTTTCATTGGCTAGGCATCTCACTGGCCTCATGCTTCACTTTCTAACTCTACAGCAAACTTCAACAATTTTTATAGAATTGTTAGCCCTAATGCTTTGAGATACAACAGGCTTTTGTCATTATGACTTAAACACACATACTGATGAGCTATGGTTTTGTCACCTAAAAGCTGAAGAAGGTATTTACAAAGAACACCGTGGGAACCAAGATACTGAGATTAAGGATTTTAGCAGGTAACTTAGCAGTGGAATGAAACTACAAAGTTGTTTTGGAACCATTTCCATCTGGAGGGCTTTACAATGTTTAACTTCTTTATCAAACTTCACTACAAAGGTAGCCACTATTTACTTTTAGGGAAGGTTATCTGAAAAAAACAAATATTTACAATGAGTGAGAAAGTAAAGGGAAATAAAACAATTTGTCCACCAGAACACATATGGTAACAGGGTCATATTCTGTTATCATAAATCTTTTGATTTCAAATCATAACATTTATAAATGAAATTTAATTATATCTTGGTTAAAGTCCGACTTTCTGTTGAAACCCACAGCCTTGATTGTTTTGCACAGAAAGACATTAAGCTGGTGTGCCCTTTGCTCTGCTCTTTGGGGTCTCAATGGTAAACAGCTTGGAAAGTAAGTGGAACAGAGCAGATAGATAGGTTGTGATAGAATTCATAATTATTGATCTGATGATATTAGTAGAGATAGAGTTCATTGTTAGTGTCTAGACTGTGAGGTTAGGGTTTGTTGTTGTTATTGTTCATATTTGTTCAATAATCTACATATTAATCTTTGTTTCACAAAAATATCCTTATTTCTGTACATTTGTCTTTTCCTTTCCATAATGCTTAACTCTTTATTTAAAACAATATAACTTATAAATTTAGAAATTAGAAACATACAGTGAGGATGAGCTGTAGAGCAGGCTCAGGGATTAAGAGCTCTTACTGCTGTTTTGGAGGACCAGGGTTCCCTTCCCAGTGCTCATGTCAGGAAACTCATAATAGGCTATCACTTCAGTTCTAGGACACCCTCTTCTGGTCTCTGGTGGCAGATGAACTTCCATGTACATACCTTACCTATATGTACATAATTAAAAGAATTCTTTTTAAAATCCAGAAATGTATGTTTATTCAGAGGGGGACAGGAAGAAAAATAAAACAATGTTTTTGCCCTAAAGAATAATGAATAACTCAGGCAGATGGACGTTACCCACAGGCCAGCCTGGGTTCTCAAGGCTTGGGCTGGCAGGAAGATATCCACAGGACCTTCCTGTTGCTGACAGGTGGATGACATTATGATGAGCAAATGTGTGGTGGAGAAATGGGAAAGAAAATGCAGGATAGTTCATGTGCTGTGGAAAGAGGAGGAATAGAAGAAGTAAAGGTGGTGAGGAGTAGACTGATGAGGGAGGCCTGCTTGCCACCTGGGGCCAGGGTAATGTCCAGGCCTGGGCTGCTGCCAAGGGCCATGTCTGGGTCCATGGTCCAAATACATCCAGAGTCTGTGTTTATATCCATGGCCCGTGTTACCACCAAAGGCTACAAGGATGCCCAATGTGCTGCCACCTGTAACCATATAGGTGTCCTAGGCCATGTCACCACAGGGGCCATACCCACCTGGTGCCATGGTGACATCTGGGCTGGAACTGGAGCTGAGAGTCATATCTGGGTTCATGGCCCTATTGCAGCCAGAATCTGTGTTGATTGCTGGTAGCCAGGTCAGAGAAGCAGCAGGTGGTAATTGAAGTTCAAGGTTTCAGCCCACCAGAAGGAAACTCTCTTATGGGTCAATCTTGGACAGGCAAGTCCCTGAGACCACAGACCCTAAAATGTCTTTTGCTTCTGCTGTGCCTTTACATGTTTGTTGCTGCTGTCTTTCTCTGGTATCTGGTATGGTGTTATTGGATGTGGGGAGAGCCCTACTTTATGTAATGTAGTGTGTTTATCTCATGGAAGCATCTCATTCTACTGGACATTTTTACTGGTGGATTTTTATGAGGATGATTCCTTCCTAAGCTGTACTGTCTGACTGATAATAATGTTAGCTTATACAGAGTTTTGATGATTAAAAATATAAACAAGGAGGAGGTGGCACACTGCTACAACACATGAGTTTCTATTGAGGAGCCATATAGACTGTGACTTAGGTTAATGATTGTTGCTGGAGGGCTTCTCTCCAGGTTCCACCAAGCCCTGCAGTCCCACAATCCACGTATAAAATAATCACTCAGACGCTTATATCACTTATAAACTGTATGGCCGTGGCAGGCTTCTTGCTAACTGTTCTTATATCTTAAATTAACCCATTTCTATAAATCTATACCTTGCCACATTGCTTGTGGCTTACCAGCGTCTTCACAAGCTGCTTGTCCTGGCCGTGGCTGCAGTGTCTCTCCCTCCTTCTTCCTGTTTCCCCAATTCTCCTCTCTCCTTGTCCCGCCTATACTTCCTGTCTGGTCACTGGCCATCAGTGTTTTATTTAAATAGAGCAATATCCACAGCAAATGATTAAGAAAAACAATTGAGTCCCAGTAGCCCAGCTAGCTTAAATTCTTTTAATATTAATGTTGGGAGATGTGTTTACAGCTTTCAGAGTGCATAATAGCTGAAATAAAGCTTTGAAAACAACTTAAATTTAGACTAAGATGTTTATTATCAAATAGCTTTGAGGTGACAAACCTAAGAATATAATCTAAAGTTTTAGAAAGGCACATAGTTGAATGCAGAACTCTTTAAAGACAGGGAACAAGAACAAAGCAGTCCAATTATTACTAGCTGACACACTTTTCTTGCTAAGATTGGTTGATGACCAAAGGTAATGATTAATTCCTTCCACTCATTCTGCTTTCAATCTTTTAATATAAAAAACTATTGATGGGGCCGGGCGGTGGTGGCGCGCGCCTTTAATCCCAGCACTCGGGAGGCAGAGGCAGGCGGATCTCTGTGAGTTCGAGGCCAGCCTGGGCTACCAAGTGAGTTCCAGGAAA